AACGGCCAGCTCTCCACAACGGCAACGGCCACTGAAACTCGCCCCAACAGCCAAAATAACCTTTCGACAACGGCTAATTAATCAACGACTGACGAACGGTATATACAAAACCCCATTTTCTTATCGTAAAAGGTCACCAAACTTGATCCGTACCGCACGCCGTTGGTCTCCGTTTCCGTTAAGTTTCTGTTTTATTGATATCTTTTGATTCATATACGCTAAAGTAAGCCTTTTTTGAAAAAAAAAAACAAAAAAATGTTACAACCCCGAAAAAAAACCGGTGTCGCATTACACCCCTACCTCCCCCTAACGGTCACCTCTCGACAACGGCCACTTTCCTTTCCAAGGTGGCCGTTGCGGAGAGGTTCGACTGTAAAATTGCAATCCTGACCAACTTGATACGCCAACAGTTCCACAGAAGAAGAGACTGTTCTGGGTTATTGTGGGTGGAAGAAATGAACGAGCCAAATAATGCCTGGTAACCGAATCTTGCTGTCAGCTCAGTACTTAAATTCAAGAGTATGTTAGCTCATTGGAATGACTGTTTACATTTGGTTGTATATGACAAGCTCATTTATCAGACGGGCAACTGAGACCACGGCTTCTAGTAAGTCCGTTGCTTCGCAACATGAGGTAAGACGTGACGTATCACATGGGGCATCAAGATGGCGGAGCGCATAGGCTAGCCTCCTTATGGTGTTGCCTCGTTACGGTGCTAAGAATGTAACGGATTAAGGAGTTGTGTTGTGAATAAACAATTTTGACAGTTGGTGATTAAATCACTTACACTGAACTTCACACTATCGCCAAAAAAGCACGCTACACAGTTGCCCGTAAATTATCGTCAAGCAATATGGAGACTTCAGGCAATGTTCCCGCCTATTGTCAACGTATGGTTGGTCAAGAAGACAAATAAAATAAGTTTGTTTTTTTTTTCTGGGGTGAGGTGTGGGGGGGGGGGGGCGCTAAAATATCGGACGAGGATACTGACGCATCGACAGTTATATCACCAAACCCACGGTTGATCCCGAAAGGAGAAACTGTGCGGAATCCGAATGTATTCTTATCTACCACTACGGGAAGACGTCTGATGTTTGTTCCGACGGCAGTAGTACATTACTATCTCGCAAGAGCCCCCATGTGTGTACACCATATGGTTATTCACCCACTCTTGTCCCACCGGTGTTTGTTGTCTAAACATCTTGATTACCCAGTTTCGTACGTGAATTCTTTTGGAGCTGGAGTGGTTTGTTTGTCTCTAAAACAGAATCGGACGACAAAACCAGTTTTTAAACGTTCATTTAAGACTTCACATCTATTTTGCCGTCTTCGTTTCGCATAGAAGCGCAAGTTTGCACAGGAGTGAAAGATTCATCGACATACTAAAAATAGATCAGAAAGAATTATCACGTGAAATAAAACGCTTCTCTCTTGCGTTATGGTCTCTTGTTCATAAATAGAATATGAGCTCATCATACAGAATGGAACAAACGATGGATTGTCGAAATATGGACGCTCGATCAAAGCGCCAAAAAAAGGGAAAAAGAGGTGATTCACACCCGTTAACTTACTTAGCTTACTTACCCACTAGAACGGACTCGTTCCTTGTGCCGCTTTTTCTTTAGCTTTCGTTTCTGATTTTTGGACAATTTCGAAGTTTGTTCTGTTGATTCGGCCGTGAGCTGTGATCCAGTGTGCCGCGCGGTTTGTTCTTCGCATTCCTTAGCACTGGATTGATACAATGTTTCATGTGCTGCGCTGAGATCTTGGGAAACTGATGAAAAATGATGACGAGTTCTGTTACTTGTCTTGCGTAATGGCAGTATTACAACTGAATGATCACTGTTTTTGTGTTAGCCTTCGACGCAGACGCGCTTTGGGCTGTCACGCACATCTTCCTCCGAAGTTTGCGTGACAAGGCAAAAGGGGGTCTAGTAGTCCGCATAGGAGGATATTTTTGAGTATCGCCAACCTTAAAAAAGCAAACTGATTGTAAACCTCTATGCTTACAGGTATAACGAAGAAAGTAACATAATGAAAGTCGCGTACATGCCTTGTACCATTTCATCGCATTCTCTCTTCTTTCTGTCATATCTCGTTTCAGCAGACTTCGTGCCTTCTTAGTGGCTTGTAGTGCAGTTATGGCCCCCTCTCTGTCACGCAACGCTACGCAAAGAGAGGACCAGAACTGGACTAAGTGGCCTGTTATAGACCAGTTTGACTGAACGCTCTGGAATCAAAATTGATGTAATGGCCTACCGTATGGCCTATAAAGCCCTCCCCTCCGTCCCTCCCTCTCCCTCCTTCTTTCTGATTCTAATAAGCACCCTTTTCTTTAACTTTTCAAGGTGACAATCTGGGGATTAGTCACTTAACGACGAGGATCATTTTGTCCATCCCTTATTTTTTTTTTTTGTTACATCTTGCAAAGACGTTTGGCAAGAAACATAAATTGTTGTATTTTCATCTAATACAGGGGTTTCATTAACATCTTCAGCAGGAAGGCAACCGGATTTTACAGACGGGCAAAATCTTTTTGAACTGAACTTCTTTATAAGAACAACTTTCCTCTTGATGTTCAAACCAAGTGGGTAAAAGCATCCTCACAGCCGGTCAGTCCGCCCTCTCCGACTCTAACATGCACTCCCCCCTCCCCAACTCCTTTCTTAGATGCCATTATAGGATTTCTTTTTTTACCTCGTAAAGACCTTGGCGAGGAAGATAAGACAGGTTTTTCTACAGCATGAAGCTGTGGAGAGTACGGCGACGTTTTTTCTTCATGATTATGTAGCGAAACGTCATCGTTTGGAGCAAGATTTCGACCTAGAACGAAATAACATGAAACTCGTACGTCAAATCATACGATGAATTCATATCCGAAGTAAACAGGAGCTACGTTGTGGTTTGCGCATCTTGAAAAGTTGAGCCTAAATTTTTCAAGTTCGTCGTTTGTAATCCGTGTTAATCTTCTCCATCCTTAACCATCCTTGTTCCTTTATGGTTTAATATTATCTATTTGGTATTTTTCTAACTAAGTAAACTACTATTTTCAGGTTTCCTTCAATTTAACGGTAATTTAGCACCGCGCCAAAAATTCTCAAAATACTGCGACTGAGCTGAACGAAATAACAAGGTACGTAAGAAATGAATACTACCGTCATGCTCCCCGAGCTTCCGTTTCTGTCCCTTACTGGCCATGTCATGTAAGTCTTCACTTTCCGTCCCGACAGGCGAATATAATTGCTTCGTCGTGTCCTCATCATTCTCTGAATCTGTTTCCTCTTCTGAAGGAAACAACTTGCTTAAGACTCTCCGGCGAAAAACTGACGAGAGAGAGAAGATCAGGTAATTAGCTCTGATCTAATTTGTCTGCTAAAATAAAGTTTTCTTCTGAGGCTAAATCCAAATCTTTTTACTGTGCCTTTCAATAACATGCGGACTCTAAAATTCAAAGCTCAACCGACAAATGCGTTTTTCGCTACCGTCAATCAAATGTTCAGCGGCTCCTCCCAGCTTCCGACTACTACCGAGCACTGCTTCGTTGTCTGAACTGTGCAACGATTTGATTACTGCGCGCTCGGTAGTAGTTGGAAGCTGGGAGGAGCAGCCGATGATTTGATTGACGTTTGCGAAAAACGCATTTGTCGGTTGAGCTTTGAATTTTAGAGTCCGCATTTTACTGAAAGGCGCAGTAAGTGCCACTAAAACGAAATTTTTGGATCCTTTTTCTTTTTTTTTTTCGCCCAATCTATAGTTTCAAACGTACTCACGATGAACTTTACTTTTGCCAAACCTTAACGCATAGCAAAAAAAGTGTCCGGACTCTGGAACCGAATTTAAGGACCTGGCTGTATAAATACGGGAAGCGTGGTAAATCCTATCTTGTTTTCACTTGATTTATTCGAGTTTTAATCTTCATCTTGTCACGACCTACTACGGCTTTCTTAAATCCTGACAAAAGTCTATCAAATAATAAACCACGCGTTGGACTTCGGATCCAACGGTTCAGCTCCAAGCCCTGCCCCCGGGTCACTGAGTTAGTACTTCACCCTTTAAGTGTTTGGTGAATTTTTTGAGCCTTCTTATCCTCTACAAACAACAGCAATTGGGAGGCGGGAAAAGGACGTCAGCAATGTCTTCACTAGTGAGGATATGAATAATATGCCACTCGGGTTCCGGATGTAGTCTCGTATACATTTTACGAGTGGTGTATTTTTCAGTGAAAGAATCGTGACAATATAATATGGAAAAGTTCACTTACATGTTTCCCTGTCAGCTGAGGTCATTCGGTCACAACTCACAAGCGGCTGTTTCGATGACCGCGAGAAGCATCCGACAACTAAAAGAAGACGAAAAAAATTGGTAAAATAAAGGTGGATTGGAACCCCATGTTGAGGAGGCGCAGTGGCCTCATGGTTAGTACGCTCGCCTCCGGATCGAGCGGTACGGGTTCGAGCCCTGGCCTGGGACATTGTGTTGTGTTCTTGGGCAAGACACTTTACTCTTTCAGTGCCTCTCTCCACCCAGGGGTATAAACGGGTACTGGTGAATTTAATGTTAAGGGTAACTCTGCGATGGACTGGTATTTCAACCCTTCCCCGGGGAAGGGGGAGGGGGTTGAAATACTCCTAGCCGCTTCATGCCACTGAAACCGGAGATACAGGGAATTCATTTAGATCCATACAAACAAAAAGTTCAAGCCTACTACACCAGAATATTAGAAAGTTTAAGATTAAGCATTAGAAAAGCAGGTAAATATGTAGACAAGGTGGTAAAAAACACTCTATTCTGATCGCCACTGACACAAAAGCACAGACTTGCTCTTTGTAGAAGATGACTAATTTTATCTCAAAGGAACATTTTCTCTGGTTTGAGTGTTCTGTCCAGGGCTTTTTTTCCGCATAATCAGAGTCAAAATTTTCCGCCATTTTGCCGAAACGGTGACGTCACAAATCTTTCATGACATCACAACTATCGTCACCTGGTGAAAAATCAGACTGAAAAGGGAAAAGAAAAACCTGGAAAGAAACTGGGAACGAATATTCCCAAAAGAGTCCTGAAACTTTTCCTTACACATACGCATCAAAATAAAACGAAAAAAATGTTGTTTTCCACACAAATTAGAAAGATCAATAGTAAACTAACAAAAATCAAGTGTTGTTTTAGGTATGTTTGTTCAAATTGACAACACGACGCTAAAAACTTCTCTCAGGGGTAACCGAAAAACAGGCAATCGACGGTTTGAACAAACACTGAACAGGAACTTTAAAACTCGGTCGTTAAAGCCATTGTTAAAAAGACTGGCGTCAACCTTGCGTCAACTGTCGCAATAAAATGATAAATTAGTTCTAAATTCGATTTCAATTTTGCTTTACGCCACAGACGCAATTCAGTTATTGTCGTCATCTTTGCAGAGTTTTTGTCCCAATCTATAAATAAACAAAATAAAACATGAGCAATACACATAATGAAGACCGAGGCGGATATTACGAAGATTGAATCGACAATATGGATTCCGTACTTATAAATCATTTTGAAGATCACTTTTCTACAAAAACTTCCTGATGCCGGCAACAATAGACGTCTGTCTCGACCACTCATTACCGCGAGCTATAAGTTTCGTTTTCCATCTATCCCTTGTTAAAACTTGTAGAAGAAACTGGCCTTGTATCTGAGCTGCGTGGATGCGTGCGTGGATGCGTGCGTGGATGCGTGCGTGGATGCGTGCGTGGATTACTATAACTACTGCCTACTCCACGTAAATAATAACAAGTATTGCGGGATTACTATAGCTACTGCCTGTTGTCCAGGTAAATACTAACGAGTGTTGCGGGGGCATAGGCAAGGTAATTACGCTGCGAGCCGAGCTTTCTTGATGGCAGCATCTGGTACCTTGTTGCGATACGCCACTTTGCGCAATGCGAAAGTTAAGATCAAATTAACGACCAAAATGCTCTTAGCTTTGAAAATGATAGGAACATTTTACATCTTCAATAGCTGCTCTGGAGTTAAATGGACTATTAAAAATTTAAGTATCTTCCCAGAATTGTGTTGAAACCTGATGGTATTGTTTTCACTGTCATTCTTTTAAAAATAACATACGGTTTTCAATACAATATCGCCACAGAAAAAGTCATTCTGTCAAGGTCAGAGGAGAGAGCACCGATGCTTCTTTTTAATCTCGCCGAGTTCAACCCCACCGAAAGTTATAAACGGGTTTATCTTTCACTTTCGACGCGCCGAAAACTGAAATTGAAAATAATTGAATATCCGTATGTAGGGGCAATATTAACTATGGAATTTCCAATGAATCCCTGTGCCAAACTAAGAAGTGTAAATATTAGACCGAAGACCGAAAAAGACCACGGAAAAAAACCCAAATCCCTGCGACCGCTAAAAATAGAGAGTCACGCAAACGTAGATGAAATATTTAGAAGGTAATTGCGCGTTGAAGTGAAACTAGCGTGAGAGCGAAGGATTTGAGAGGTGACATGGAACATTACAGTACACACGCAGTGCTAATCAGAACATTAATTTTCTAAATCAATGATTCGAAGCAACACGCAATGCAGGAATCAAGGAGAAAGGCCTTTTACTTCACATTAGCAACGTGTTAAACAGTGGGAAACAATCGCATAAATTCGAAGTCTGTGGATGAAAGGTTTTTAAAGGAGCCTTTTGCAATAGCTGCTTTGCGTTATTTTGGCCTCAGTGCTAGTGTTGACGAGTATGGCATCGTGAATGAAACCCACCAATGTCACTTGGAGCGATGCTATGTCAATCAAGCGCACATCGTCTGAATGGCGATCGATCTGAGCCAATCAGATGGCGTTCTTCAATGGTTGCCACGCGAGCAAAGGCTCGAGTCACTCCATTCAACAATTAACGTCCATCTGCGGTAGAAATGCAAAATAGGTTGTCATGCAAGGTAATTTACAATAGCGCAAGTTCAACCACAGAAAATTCAACCCGATCGCCCACTTGAGCGAGCAGTGCGCAACGTGCAATTCGACTGTGGTATGGAAAAGGATGGAAATATTTTCCCACGTGCGAAAAAACCCAGCAGTTCAACGCGCAATGATTTTCGTGAGCCGCCAACGCAATTTGTTGCGTTAAGGGATTAGTGTCAATATTCCGTTTACGCTCGATCGCATCAATTGCTATGCAAATTTACGTGCTTCCACGCATACGAGCCAGCGTGCACAGCCGAAAACCACACACGAGTATTACGAATCCCGTGCGATATGCACTGCTATTTTAAGCAGCTCTGCTGTTGCCTACAGCTGGGGGAAAGAGGAATATTTCGCCAGCTTCTCCAGCACGGCTGTTCCCGTTTGCAAAATACACTCTACTCTATGAATGAACCTCGTGGGGCGTCAAGCGAGACTGTTGCTCATTGGTTATGCTTGAACGGTTCAAGCCCTGTGATTGGTCAAGAGACTCATCAACTTCTGTTTTACCCCCCGAATTCACACCTGAGAAAGGCTTTGCGCGTGGCTTATTAGTAGTCCCTTAGAAAAGCATTTGTTTCACTACGTAGCCGGCTCGCGCTCTGCGACACTACAAAGAGAGTACACATAAGAAAATTTCGCCAGTCCTGGCTAAATCAGCCTCGAGTCAAACTCACAAAAAGCAGCAATTGTCAACCGCCGAAGAGCTAAGGAAGAGAAAAACACATTTCAGCTCGCAGACGGTGTATTTGTATTTCACTTTCGAGACATGGTGCTGCACGAAGTTCAGAGAACATTGTGTGAGAGCTGCAGCAGGCTTCGACGAAGAGAAATGGTTCACAACACGATTCAGAGCGGCAAGTTTGACGCATCCGAGCTTAAACTCGGACGATTATTAGGAAGTGGAGGTTTTGGATGTGTGTACGAGGCAAGATATCGCGGTGAGAGACTGGCAGTTAAAAAGCTTCACCAGGGAACAAAGAACGAGAGAGCTGCGCTGGAAAGTTTCGAAGCTGAAAGTTCCATTCTACACTTCAGCCATCCGAACATTGTGCGTACCCTCGCGGTGCTCACAATAATGGACGCTAGATGCGTGATAATGGAGTTCGCCGGCGAAAGGAACTTACAAAGCGTTATAAACGATCCATTTGAGGAGTTAGGCAGTGATCGGCGCAGAAAATTCTCATTAAATATTGCCACAGCCTTGGAGTTTGCCCACCAACAAGGGCTGGCCCATCTAGACCTAAAACCGGGCAATGTGCTCGTAACTGCGGACGATCAGTGCAAACTGGCAGATTTTGGGTGCTGCCGAGCCGTGGAGGAAAATAACAAGCCTGCTAGCCCAACAAAGTCGAATTTGACGGGAACTTATGCTTACAGAGCACCGGAACTTCTCAAGGGCGAAAGTCCAACGACAAAAGCGGACATCTATTCATACGGAGTTTGCCTTTGGCAAATGTTAACAAGAGAGCAGCCTTATGGAAACGAGAATCAACACGTAGTTATTTTCGGAGTCGTCGCGTATCAGCTGCGGCCCGAATTAAACGAAGAAATTACAGGAGATGAACAATATGTAAATTTAATCAGACAATGTTGGCAAGCCGAGGCTAAGTTCAGACCTGCAGCTTCTGACATTGTTGCCAAGCTCCAAGAAATCCGAGCTGCTGAGAAAGAATTTACCAGAGATCTGCTAGAGGAAAGAAAAGTCAACGATTGCGACAGATCAAGAGTTTGTAGTCCTCAGGTGTGCCATCAAAACACCAGACTACACTAACTGTGGTCTCCATTAAGGCAGCAGTGCAGTGGACAATCTAGTTTTCTAGTATTTCAATGCAAATTTTTTGTAAAGTGACAACGGGTTTTAAATTTTCGGCTCGTGCACAAAACAGTTCTTATGCTTCTAAAAGGACGTTGGACAAGAAAAAATGCCTTTTTATAAAAATAAATCAAGTTATATTGTAAACATTTGTATAATATTACCATTATAGAAAAAAAAGTGCTCCTGCCAAGACGAAAATAATCTATGAATTCTCAATAAAAGAATGCAACAATTTGCAAATTAAGTTTGTGTTCGTTTGATTTTTCGCCGCATAACGCATGGCTAGTTTTCATAGCGCGATCTTTTACTTGCATGAGTAAACCACCGCTCACGGAAGCGAAATGGCGCACTCTTTTGTTCCAGTTGGTGGGATATTTTACTTTTTGCCTTGATATTAACAGCGCAGCGCAGCTATTTCAAAAGTGTTCCATAGATCAGCCGATAAAGATTAACAAAGGACGCTAGGCACAGTCAATCGAGTGACTTATTCGACGCCAAACCCGGTTAATTCTCGAGAGAATTTTGAATCGGCGTCTTTCGCAAGACTTACAGAGCAACTTAATTTTTACTTTTGGTCTATTCTTAAACCCCCTGGAGACGGCTTTTGTTAAGGCCACGTTCTTGCAACGACAGTTCGTCGCAGATCGACCGCGCAGAGTTTTTACAACACATCAGGAATATTGGCACGGGTTGGGCGACTCATTTCAAGAAAAACGTGATTTCTCGTAAAATCAAAGTTCGCAAATCTAAAACAAAATTGGGCATTTTTCTATACCGCCAACCGCTTCCAACCCTGTGACCGACCGACCGAACGAGCCTCAAAAACCGTGAATGCTTAACCCAAGCACAACAAAGAGAACCACAAATTTGCATTCGTTGCACATAAAAACTCATTGTAGTTATCCAGCTGTAGTTGTCCATTAAAATCAATAGTGCCTTTTGCAACCATGGTACAAGGGACTCAGCAAGTTCAGCGCTAACTCCATTGTGTCTTCACCTGCTGGGGGCGTGGCACGCATTGAACGAGACCTAGCCTCGAACGCTGATTGGTCGCCGAGACAATACAATCAATTTACTTAATAGGCGACGCGTGCCGCAGCGCGAGCTGCTCATATGCGAAGCCGCAAGAAAGAAAAGCGCTGGGTTGTTCAATACACTATGTGCTAAAAAATAATCCAAAGTTGACGATTGAACTCGCGACGCGAGAGCGCTCGATAAGTCGCGCAAAACCGCGCAAAATCGTAAAAGCACCGAAACATGAGGTAATGATGCGTAATTGGAGCTTTCCGCTTTTGAACACAAGTCTCATTAGACATCATGGCTACACTCTAACCCAGATCATGAAAGCCCTTGTAATAAATTTGCAGCGTTCAATTTGTAACGATTACGACTAAACTGCGCCTTGGCTGATCATACGCTCGCGATCAAACAGCTCTATCGCTTTTTTTCACTCTATCACACCGTCTAGCAATATATCGAGACCCCGGGAAGTCATTCAAAACGAATATCTACCCCGCTGGGTTTGCAGGTTGAGGCGAGAACGTCAAATCATTACCTATGCAAAAAACGTGCAAACAGCTGAAAATCAAAATCAATGGCATCGTAATGGAGAAGCAAATCCAATCAAATGTTAAGTCGAGACTGTTCTGTAGGGATCCGACAGCTCAACCATCTTCCAAATTCTACCATCGCGCGCGGACTTATCGCAAATTCAACTCGACAAAAACTCTGCCACAGCTATCTTCCAGTTGTTCACCCAAGCTACACAAGGAATGGCTACTAAATAAACTTTCAGCTCAATCTTTCCTTCCGTTGTTTGGATACGCTTTTTCGAAAATAGAAAAAGTAAATAATTGCATGTCAGCTTACTGATTAATGAAGTTCCGAAATTTCTTTTGTTCCTGCACCGAGCTAACCTGTCGCTAAGCAACAATGCGAGCAGAGTGTGGTTGGTAATTGAAACGTTGCTTAGGGGAAGTGTGAAATTTGATCAAGCAGAATTTTTCCGTCATGTAAGATGGTTGGCCTTGGGAAGCGCACAGCACACGCCCGTGGGCGATTCTTTGAAGATAAATGGCTAATTTAACCGAGATGAGCTAATAAAGTTGACCGAGAATTTACACGCGGGTTATAGATGTAATAATGCATCTTGAAATCAATCGGACGATTGAGGCAAAATGTGGCAAGGTTTTCAAAGTTTATAATGACGTACACGAGTTTCAATTGGCCACGCAGATTTTAAATGGCTGGATTTGTTTTTATACAAGCAGAATTGAAAAGGAGAGCATTTTAATAAAGCCTTCGATGGATGTAAATTGGTTTAAACTTGAAGCGAAGCTGTCAAAAGCTATTGACTGATTTACTAGAGCATCATAATCAAACAAACATCGAGGGAACTACAGCACAAATGGCTTGCTATTGTGGAGTTGTCTTGGGGCCGCTTACAACTTCCGCACAGTCAAATTACTGTCTTTTCAAACAAAATCCAAATCAAGCTTAAACAATACTCTCTTTGGTCAAACATTCTTGTAATTAAGAATATGAACTTATTTACATTCATGCGACAGGTGAAATTCACGATGTGATCGCACAAAACCAAAACACTGTCCATTGCGAGGTAAACCATAAACACAGTAGCAACGCTGTTTATCATAAAAGTCGAAACTAGGAGCAACAGATGGTATAAGCCACACAAAAGAAAATGAGGAAAAAGGCGAAAAGAGGAAAGAATTGCGGAAAACCTCGCGCAGGTTACTAGGAAACGGCACGAGAAGAAATGTTTGTTTTCGAACGCAACATTTTCTAACTCAAAAACAGCGAAAATAATCGTGAAATTCTCTTTATGCTGTTTCGTCACGGAAAGCAAATTAAACGCTCCGTGAAGATCCTAACAGCGAGGCAAAAAAGCTGAAGCAGGCTGAATAAACCGGCTTGCCTCTAATCAACTGCTCGGCCAAATTGCCTTCCAATTATATTCATCCCAGCAAAACGTGCCATTTTGCTGACCTAATAGCTCTTGCAAGCAGAGCATAAGTTTACTTGATTGATTTCTCGGCGTAAAAGGTCACGGGAAAACTTTTTTGCTTGTCCTTCTCAATGAGTTAAGATTAGTTTCATTGCCCGAGTGGCAACGGCTAAATTAAGCGCGCGCTCCTTTCATGCATGTGTAAAATTTCGCACATTTTCAATGGGGGTGCTGTTCCAGCAGCTGTTCTGTGGACTAAACAAAGAGAAAAGTATTCTGAACACACGCGGCTCATTGTTCGCAGACAACTGTAAGAATTTGATCCCAAATTAAATTGTACAACCACAGTTACCGGGCGTGTAACCAGGACGAACGCGCTAACGTCGAAGCGTGCCGCCCGTCTCCGAGGTCCGCAATGTGCGAAGGTCAATTTGCACCATTTTGAGGGTACCCACGTGATTCTTGCGGTTGCTATGTGGATGTCCACTAAATTAGTTTCTGAATTCAATAAGGTTTTTAGCGGCTTTTCACATCATACAACGGCCACATGCTTGCGGAGTGTTGCTATCGAAGAGATGCCTGCTCGATTCTCACGGGGACTGAATTAACGCAAAGCTTGCATGCGGCGGGGCTTCCGTTTTGTTGTGGCTTCGGGCTGGCAAAGAATAAGACTCCTGTGGAGCGCTGCATTTTCTGACCTTGGAATAAAAAAGGCGGTGGGAGGTAGACTTCGGATTTACAATTTAACGATAAAAAGATCGCTTCAGCTCCAGAGGCGGGCTAAAATTGATACGATTCTTTGTTCAACCCTACATCTATCAAATGAGAAATTTTATAACGCACAGCCCCAATTCACTAACATAAACATCAACAACAGAACAAGAGCAACTCTTGACTAGGCTGTCAAAACAGTCTGCCAAGAACGATCGAGGACCTCACTGAACGAGTCCAGCCAGAAAAATTTTAAAAGCATAATCCTTTGTCCGTTACAACAATAACCTTTTCATGCCATGATCGAAATAATAATTTTCCTTACTGAGTTTCATAGACTTTTCTTCATAATGGTTGTGAGAATTTGATGCAACACCACGAAAATGAAAATGAACCTGTTGGCGGAACACATTTTCATATGAATGGTTTAGACTGGTTTTGACGCAGGCAAAACGCAACTCGGAAATTGGCTATTGTTAGTCTCCCGATTTCTCTCAAAAGTTTATTTCAAAAACGATCCTGTAGCCAATGCTTATAGACTCTAGTCATAAATGGCTGCCAATTTAAAATTATTTTGAATGTAGTTAAATTAGCCCAACTAACCTCGTTTGAAAGTAAAAATTCTTTGGAATGATCAACTCAAAAACGAGGTTAGTTGGGTTAATTTTAATACGTACAAAAGAATTTTTACTTGGCAGCCATTTATGAATAGGGTCATTTATGAATAGGCCCCTATATATTTCTTGATAACAAAGTAATCAAAAAGACATTATTAGAAAAATTTGTATCGAAAGAAAACACTACGTTTCTGTCAAGTGACCGCACGGCTGATGTAGTCGAACGAGCACGCAGGTATTTCAATAACTGAAGAAACTTCTGGAAGCAGACAAGACTCTCTAAATAATTTCCGGACACTTAGAAATTCTTAGAATCCCAGATCTTAGTTAAATTCCAACTGCTGAGCCCCCTCCCAAGGTATTTAGCAAATACGGGAACAACAGCATTTATTTTTAGAGAACAGGGGATATTGTCAAATTATTTTCAGGAAACATGGGAACTCCTGATTAGATCGTTGGGATCAAGGAACACTAAAATCTACTTTCAATTATATATTTCTTTAAACTTTCCCAATCCCTAAAATAAATAATATAATGTCAGCATAACCTAGGTGGGTCATAAAGTCCTTTTCACTCGAGTATTATTTTGGGAACGTTTGTTTCTGCCATATGGCAAAAATCAAGATTACGACAATGTTACATTTTCTATTGGTTACAGCTGATCACGACGCAGCTCGATCGAAGCAATCACAGTTGTACCAATTACTGCATGGGGCAATTTATTACACTAGGCATGGAAAGCCTATGGAGAAATGGAGCCTTGATCGGCTTAGATTAAGTGTAACCACAGCTGAGACACAAGGGCCTCATGGAAATTTTTTATCAATGACCTCCTAGACCGTTTTAATCCAAGCCTTATCACCAAATTTAGTATTAAAAGTCGTTTAACGCTTGTTGCTTTGTCGAAAACACATTTTCAGAAATGAAGAAGTGACGCCAATGCTCCTACAG